AATAACCGCTGAACTGGAAAGCCTACTGTGGTGGGGGAGCTGCGTCTACCTGCCTATCAGGACCTGCAGCACGACATGCAGTGTCCACAAATATAAAGGACATTAGTACAAATAAAGTACTGAGTATGTAAGGTAGGAAAGCATAAGTAAGAATAGTAATGTTTACAGGGATAGAGAATATACAACCTGTAACATCTGGATACCTCAGAAGGCTACTGACATGAAACGCGTGATACATACATACATATATACATAAACTTTTAAAACATACGCCTCTGTGGGCATCATCATTATCATATCGTACCCGGCTATAATAGGCTTGATAAAACGTACCCGGCTATGTGGAGCTCGGTAAAACCCAATTGATTAGTGGTTGCACAATAGGTGCCATACCCGGCCGTCTATAGCGCGGCTCGGTAGAGTAAAATAGATNGGGCATCCTCTGTACAAGTTATTAGGACTAACTCTTCATCATGAATCTAATAAGAATCAGGAAGTACCAACAACATTGATAACATAAGAATAAGAGAAGCAAAATCAACATCAATCACTCCGTAAGAACGAAAACAATGTAAGTACTGCTAGCTTCTAAGAGTAAAGTATCTTTGGAAGCACGTTCGTTACATTATGTACAATCGGAGTCGTACAGAAGTAGGAAAGGGATAGCCTCACATACCTTGTATATGTACTGCCAATCTCAAGCTATGAAAATGTCACGACTCCTTACTCTACAATAAGAGAAATGACACTATCATTATTGTTTAAGCATCATAACTATTATGTATCGACCACAACCTATTTTACGATGAAACGGACAGCACCTCCCCTATATATATGACTTCACAAAAGCTAAAACAATCACCAAACAGCCCAACATACCCCGATCACTTCATACACAACACGACAACCATAATAGTGTCAAACAATCCGAAAATGTTACGATGAACGACCAGCAAACAACCCTGCCATTATGTGGTGTTTCTCCACACCTTTTCTCCTCTCAACTCTATAAAAACACTAGCAAAAGAGACAACCCAATAGCAACACGAAATAGCCCACAAAACAATTCCAAAAATTCAGCAACTCAAAATTAATTTTTCAGTTTACTTAAACACGTTTCGACTTGTTGTTTCTTTCAAATTGAGAAACACAACCAAAAGTACATAATTATACATCTTATCCAATACCAGCCATGAATTCAACTTAAAAATAATTTCACAACCAACCATTATGAAAGAACAAACAACATACCACTCTTTCGAAACTCGCTAGGTCTATTTTTTACGATCGAGTTACAACTCACAAATGCATAGATAATGGAAGGAGAAGCATAACATTACCTTGTACTGAGTATAACCCACGAAACCTGGTCCTTCTTCATCAAAAATCAGTTCCTTAACGTGACTACAAGAAGTGGAAAGAGAAACTAGCAAGTTGTCTGAACCTTTCGGCACCTGAATCACGTCGTAACACCCGAAATACCCTAAGGTTTGTGTGGGATTTTTGGAGAGGATTTGCAGGGGTTCAATTTGGTTTTCAAGGTCTAAAATATGGGTGAAATAAATGAGTTGATAATCCCTTAAAAGTCACCTCTTGGCCGACTTTGGGGCTTTTAATTGAGTCCTCTCATTTTGGCAAGTAGGTGATGCACCAACTTGTCACCTACCAATCTGTGCAGTCTTGCGAAAATTCAAATATCTCTATACTTCAAGATCGTATTGACAAACGGTTTAATGCATTGGAAACTAGACTCATAGATCTTCAATTTGGCAGGTATATCATCCTGTAATTCCTAATAAATTGGGAGAAAAGATTAGTAACATTTGACCTAAAGTTTAAGTAAAATTATGAACATAAGTTGCGACAACTTTTGTCGACTTTTGTTTCATAACTCGTTTGACTTCAAGACTTATGATATGGATATTATATGATTCAAATACCTTAATACACGACCTCTTGAGAATATTAGCACCCCTAGGTCTACAAAAAATACGGGTTACAATATCCTTGATTTGTTTAACTTCTAATACTTGTTAACCACCCTTATACACCCTTGTATCATTTAAGACCAATAGGATTAACTTCTTATCCTCTCAAAGATAATCTCTTCTCAAATTAATGTAGATTAGTTTATGGAATGAACCAACGTACGTGAATATGGGTTGTAACACTTCTACGTTGATTGTAGTTTGTGTACGCGAGGAGACGAGTGCGTGCTTGAACTTATTTGTGAAAAATGGGCTCTTTTAGGATTCTTAGGTACTTATATTTACTAAGTAGGAAGTTGTTCTTGATATGATTGAGTTTTCTAATTGCTATTTTCACCTCTACATACTTAATTGGATTTAATTGCTTTATAATTTACTCTTGTTGCCTATTTGACTCTTATTTGACTTAACAGAAGATTTGTACCTCTCCTATTGACCTGCTATCTTTTCATAACTGCCGATCTTTATCTGAAATTATTATTGTCTCATCATATAATTATTTAGTCTTAATCGAGGTTGCGATTATCTTTCCTCTACTTATCCTTAATTGAATTGTTGAATAACCTTCGTAATTGCTCAACCTTAAAAGAAGTTAGATATCCTATATTATAGCTGACATAGCATTATTTGGAATTATTTGACTCGTGTTAGCTTCCTTCTTGTTGAATCGAATATTGTGGAGTCGTTGCTACATTTTAGTTTTCCCTTGTTAAGCTATTCTCTTTATGTCTAGCACTCCTTACTGTGGTTATTCCTTGTGAATAAGTTCTATCTGTTCTTTGTGATTTAAAGTTCTTGAGCTGATTTACTTGCCGTACTTTATATTATTTTCATTGTTGCTATTGTACTTGTTGTGGTGATGCACAAGGTTTCTGTTGTGCTGTAACTGTTATCTCTGTTGGTTGTGTTGCATATTTACTTTGGGACTATGGGACAGTATTTCGGGAGATCTCCCTGTTCTGCATATTTACTTTGGGACTACGGAACAGTATTCCGGGAGATCCCCCTATTCTGCATATTTACTTTGGGACTACGGAACAGTATTCCGGGAGATCCCCCTATTCTGCATATTTACTTTGGGACTACAGAACGGTATTCCGGAAGATCCACCTATACTGCATATTTACTTTGGAACTACGGAAAGGTATTCTAGGAGATCCCTCTGCACATTTACGTTTGGGACTACAAGACGGTATCCTGGGAGATCCCATGTTGTTATCACTGTGTTCTGAGCTATTGTCTTTCATTGATTCTACTCTTTTCCCTATTCTTACTAGTTGGTATGAACTATGTTAGGACACTTGCACAAGCATACACATAGTTAAACACTCTTACCGGATAAGAAGTTTTCTTGATATTGTTGAGTATAGATGTGCACCCTTGTTTACTTGCCTTCTATATGAGAAAGGCTCTATTTGGCACGGGAGATGTCAGCATGATTATGAGATGTGATAAGGGCATAGGATGCCAAGTGTTAGGGTTCAGGTATTGAGGCCCGTGAGTTGTAATTTGTCTAAGTTTCGGTACTTCGTTCAGTTTTTTGGCTAAGACCTGATGTGAAAATTGTCGTAGTTGCTGAGTTATTACTTGTCTTTACTATAGTTGTGATTTCGGATTTGGGTTGTGTCTCCGTTCATTCTTCTGTGTCCTTATTATGGTGTTCCTCTGTTATTTGTTGTTTCCTTCCTTATTGCAATTACTGTATTGTTAGTCATATCGTGTCTTTATATAAATATCATGTTCTGTTGTTCCTATACTTATACTTGTTCATTTTGTTAAACCAGTAGGTGCCTTGGTTGTTCCTCGTCACTGCTCCACCGAGGTTAGTCTTGATACTTACTAGGCACCGCTATGGTGTGCTCATGCAACACTTCTGTATATTTTTTGTATAGTTCCAGGTATTGATCGTTAGTAGCTGTACGGATTCTTGCAGAGGAGACTCAAGGTAAACCTGCTGCTGCGCTCGCAGGCTTCGGAGCCACCTTCCTATTTTGTGGTCACACTGTTGTATTTATTTCCAAACAGTTGTATTTAGAAGTTGTAGCGAACTCTATAGAGCTTATGACATGTACTACCGGGTTTTGAGAATTATAAATTTTGTAGAGATTTCTGCTTTGAGACTGTTAAATTTTATTTTTTATTGTTGTATTTCAATACGAGTTAGGCTTACCTAGTCCCTAAGACTAGGTACCATCACGATACCCAAACGGAGGGAAAATTGGATCGCGACATGTTAGCTTGCCTAGCAAGCAGATGTTAGGCGCCATCACGACTGGGATTTTGGATCATGGCATTAAGACACACATGTGTATATGCGGAAGCATATATTCACAACAACAGTTTATAAAGAAGGAATAAGAATGGGATTAACATGGAGTGATTGCATTCAAGATTATCAGTGCAAGGAATGAGTCAATACACTTAATTAATGAACGGTTAAAAAAAAATATTACAGATTTAGTGATTCAAGGCAAGTTTTCAACGGTCAAATCCGATGCAACACTATGAATTTAAGAACAACCGAGAAGAACACTTTGTAGTTAGATTGAAACAAATTACAGAAGAATGGGAGAAGCTGCAAACATTAAGTTGGAACTGGAAATTGCAATCATGTTTATGATGATTTCTGCTGCTAAGGGGCTAACTGACGTACAACGATGCATTCATAAAAGCGAGGCAAAGTGTGGCATTGATCAAGAATGTTTCAATGACTCTATAAATCACTGTGTTGTGCCTGTGAATGTGCAAAACCAAATTTACTATTATAAGATTGGTTATTTTTCGGAAAAGTGTTCTAAATTCCATGTAAATGACAAGCTAAGAGAGACTTGTTATTTCAAAAACTAGTGATCTATTTGTTGTTTGAATATCTTAGAGTGTTGTGAATCCTTTGTAGCTCCCAGAATAGTTATTACGTTTTGTTTACGACAAGCTAATCCTTTTTGACTCATAGATTGGACTTGAAAATAACATGCAACCTACTATAATTAACAAGTTAAATTACACTGAGTGTATAAAAAATTACTATCTTCGTCGCTATATATATGTTATAAAATCCTATCGTCTAATAATATATGGCAGATATTGATTTCTACGCAATACAATAGGTGCTGAACTGGCTTGTTTTCAACAGAAAGAAAAATATTCATCTTCACAGAGTGGCTTGCTTATATACTATCATAATTATTCACAATTGAGCAAGCTTTTCTATCCAACTAGTTCCTTCAGCCAGCTCCAAATTCTTGAAATATTTTCCATCTTTAATTTCATACTTGCATTAATTCGAGCTTCTGCTTGAGCGGGAGTTTCTTCCTCAGTTGATCTTGCTACAGTTCCAGAAAGTTATAATATCAGGCAAAGAGCTTGTGGGGATTGACAAATATATAAATAAAACATCGAACCATTTTTTATACTGTCTTTGGCTTGCTTCTTTAACTGATTGTGGAAGGACTTAGCTGCCTTGAAAGCATTTATTGGTGATTCCCAACCTTGTCCATAAATTCCATGCCCATCTTTTTGTTGAGGACGACTGAGGTGTTCGAGTACTCTTAATTCTTCAGTGTCCACCCAATGGATACAATTTACAGGACATGATTCAATGGAGACCTGTTAATGAGACAGAGAGCAGTGTGTGTATTTTAGAGACGGATCTAGGGCGACTTCTGCTGCAACTGAATTATTGCTTCGGGTTAAACCTAAGTATACATGTATAAGAAAATATAAATGTCTAAATATAATAAAATCAGATACATTGTATAAAAATCATGTTTGAGTAGTGATTAACAGGAGAAGCCAAAGCATAAGCCTTGTAACAAGAGAAGAAATTTTCTTCGCTGTTCTTCCCATAATTACGCAGGACATTTAGTTTGTTGAACAAAACAGTTTTCCGGGCTAGATTTGCAGCAACATATTGATGGCAATCTCATTAAAAAATTTCAACTGCAAAAAGCACAAAATTCTTGTTGATTTTATCTGCGTCTAATTGTAACACATTCTGAACCCACTGGCACTAAATTCTGAATTCGTCTCGATGCATTTTAGATTAAATTTGATGGATGTGTACCTGTATCTGTGAGTCATCATCACCATATTGGACCCTGACACGAGCTCTCGCAAGAGCTTCATCCATTACAAAGGTGTTTCTTGCATGGTGCACGCACTCCGCGCACCCTGTAACAATTCATTCTCAAGCTCAATGTCATCGACAGTTTACATTCACATATTTTGCAACAGATTGAAAACCAAGAGACTGAAACAGGACAATATGTTAATGAAAGTTACCTATACAAGTATTCTCGTCAACAAATAAAGCTTGAGGTCTCAAAGGGCCTTTCCATGAACTGTAGCCCTGAAGAGAGGAACCTTTCCCACTTCCAACTCTAATTTGGCCAATTGAAACATCATACTCTCTTCTAAGATCCTCTCTCATCAAAACCTTGTATGCTTCATTCAGTACTAAGGTGTAATCATGACCCTGAAACCATTTAATACATATTTCAAGTCATGGTATATATAGATTCACAAATATGTTTCTAACACTTTAGAGGTCTGAATTAAATATACTTTCTTGTGTTTTGTGTTAAATAATCTCGCTAACTCTGAAGGGAATTGTGATGTATACCTAAATGATGAAAGATAGGGATTCGAACCCAAAATTGTTGCATGTTCTCATATCTTGTCAAATAAAAAGTAAGTACGATGACTTGAATGAAGCAGAAATTAACCCAAAAGAAATCTACGTTTGGTTGGGAAACAAGTTATTACATGGTTAATAATCTCGGGATTAATTATCCTAGGATTAGTTATCCCACCCTCCCATAGGGATAAGAAAATACTACAATCCCGAAATTAGTTATACCACGATTTTATCCCAACTAAACATGGGATAAACTCATCTCAAATATAATCTCGGGATTAGTTATCCCTTATCCCTCCCTCGTACCAAACGAGCCCTTAATTCATATTTCCAGAAAAACAAGAAACAACTATAATAATAACAACAACATGAGCTTCATTCTCTCTTCGATTGTTATTTATGAGAGAACTAGTGCGTGCTATTTAAGAACTGTTCCATCGAAATTGTTGGTACACATGATTTGAAAAGTAAAGAGTTGTACCTTTGGGCCTGCAATATCTGGATGATAAATCTTTTGGAGTTTCCTATAAGCTTCTTTGATCTTTTGAGGACTCGAATGGATAGGTATTCCTAGCAAGTCATAGTAATTCTTCTTTCTTCCTTGACTTACCTCTGCTTCTCTCATACAGCAACTCATTCCACTGAATTTCTGTCTCCGGAAACTTAAGGATTTGGGCTTATTGTGGGGGAATTGGTTTTGAAATCTCACATGCCTTAGTGAAGAAGCTCTATGTACTGGAATTACTGAAACTTCCATGTTTTCTTGTGGCGTTTACACATAAATATTTTTAATTTTGGTGCAGATTCAGAAGGAAAATTTAGCTGAAGATACTTTTTTGTCCAGTACACATAAGGATATTTTTCTAACGTTTCCACTTTTCCCTACAATTTGGTGGATAATCTGTTGAGAAGTTGAAAACAATGCTAGAAAACAAAACTAAGTCAACTGTCTATTCTTCTCCTTTTAATAGAAAGATAAGAATGTGATGTTTTTGGAAGTGCTTACAGATAGATATTTGTAGCATGATATTTTTGTCCACGTAACCACAACAGAAAGAACTCATTCTCTCCGAAGCATAATACTAATTCATTTTTGTATACGGTCGAAATCGGACTCGTCTACAACATGGTAGATCAGGCTCGGAACATGAAGGACTAAAGATCGACCCAAGTCCCACCGTGCTAGAACCGGGGGGCAGAATGCCTGTCTTCGAGAACATTGAGTCCGTGATCCCGGAGTCGACCCTAACCCCGAACGAGCTCGAAGAAACATTGTTAGCATAACCAACAGAAAAACAAAATATCCGTGACCGATCGGATATTACGGTGGGAATCTCGGTATGTATCAATAACTAACCGGCAATCAGCAAATCAAGAGATTTTTACCTTTTATAGAATTGTACCTAAAGTAGGACTGTCCCACTATATAAAGGGGGTTTGATAATTCGTTTAACACATTGTAACACGTACTCAAAAGCAATACACTATTATTTTTCTTTAAGCTCTTGTTCTATTGTATCTTGATACTGATCGAAGGGTATCCAGTTCGAGGATAGCTGACCTCCCAAACAGTGGCGAAGCCAGGAATTTTCTCAAGGGTATTCAAACTTGAAAGAAGTGAAAATATTCTCCAACAAAGAGTATTCAATATATGTTATATACCTATAAAATCTAATATTTTACCTATATACTTAGTGTAATTTTCCGACGAAGGGTGGTCAATTGACCGCCCATTCAAACATGTGGCTTCGCCCCTGCTCCCAAAGATGAGACTATCCCATCCATGTGGTTTGAATATATTTTATTATTGTTTTTTCCAATTGTAACTTAATATATCATTTAATGTCAAGTTAATCCACGTATCCATAAAATCACTTACAAATTCAATTTTGAGGGTAAACAGTTTAGCGCCTACCGCGGGGCTAAGGATAATAGTGGTTGTTTGATACAAATCTCCATAACATACACTACTTTACACTTGTTCTTTCAAGTGTCTCTAATTTCAGGTTAAAACTCAAAATGTCAAACTCTCAATCAACACCCTTACATATTCAAAATGAATCCGACCATCATGGCGAAAACGACAACGTAGTATACGGAAACGAGGTACCCCCAGCTGACCTCGGCGGAGTCCCGGCCATAGACCAGATTGACGTCACCTCACATGTGGCCATCAACACAAATTTGAACATCAATCCTGAAAACAGCGTCCGCATAGATGTTCGATCGGTTGCACAAAATACGCACGGTAGCGAAGATGGTGGAATCAACTTGCGGATAATCTTCGAAATGCTACAGGCTCATCAGGTAGCGATAGTCCAACTCCAGAACTAGAGCCGCACGCCAAGCAGGATTGAGCCAAACCATCCTGGGAAGTCGGCCACAAGATGAACCAACCCCGGAGAAACCGAATGAAAAGAAGTCAGGAACCAACCCTGAGATTATAAAGATGCTCAAAGAACTAACGAAACAGATAGAATTGGGGGATAAGAAAATAGAAGCAAATGACAAGAAGGTAAAAACCTACAATTCTATTGTCAATCAAATCCCAAGAGCACCACCATTATTAAAAGGCCTGGATTCCAAGAAGTTTGTGCAAATACCATTTCCTTCAAGCGCGGCTCCAAAGTCAATCCCTAAGAAGTTCTGCATGCCTGAGATTCCTAAGTATGAGGGAACGGCCAACCCAAACGAACATGTTACCTCCTACACATGTGCCATCAAAGGGAACGACTTAGAGGATGATGAAATCGAGTCTGTCTTGTTGAAGAAGTTCGGAGAGACCCTATCAAAAGGAGCTATGATATGGTATCACAACTTACCTCCTAACTCTATTGACTCATTTGCTATGCTTGCAGATTCTTTCATGAAAGCACATGCAGGGGATATCAAGGTCGAGACCAGCAAGTCGGACCTTTTCAAAGTATAACAGAAGGATAATGAGATGCTTAGAGAGTTCGTGTCCCGGTTTCAAATGGAATGGATAGATCTGCCATCGGTCGTCGATAATTGGGTCATTCAAGCTTTCACCTACAGACTCAACGATCGAAGCTCTATGGCTTCACAATAGTTGAAACAAAATCTGATAGAATATCTGTTGTTACTTGGGCCAACGTGCATAACCGGTATCAATAAAAAATCAGAGTCAAAGATAATCAACTTATGGCCCCGTTGGGGTTCGTTTATCCAATCATATCCGTCGATAGAGCCAAGAGAGACATTGATCATGAACCGAGATCGAGTAGGGATCATTATCAACCATACAATAGGGATCGAAGAGGTAACGGATCCGGTAGAAACCCCATAAGAAGTGAAAGCAAAAGTGATCGAGGTCAAAGTAACATGAGATTCGTGATCAAGAATAGTTTCAACAGACCCATCGGGCCTAAGGAAGCACCGAGGGTATCGGAATACAACTTTAGCGTCGATGTTGTTGCCACTGTATCAGCTATGTGATGCATCGAGGACAAATGGACTCGACCTCTACAGTACGATCAAGCCGACAGGGATCCTAACTAGATGTGCAAATATTATGGCACTCATGGCCATAGAACAGAGGATTGCTGACAATTGAGAGAGGATGTAGCCCGGTTATTCAACAACGGGCACCTTCAAGAATTCCTGAGCAATCAAGCAAGGAATCATTTCAATAATGGGTATTATAACAAATAGACCGAACAAGAAGAACCTCAATACATCATTAACATGATCATCAGTAGGGTCGATGTCCCTCAAGGGCCGATGTCCCTCAAGGGCCGATGTTGAAACACACCAAAGTATCCATCACAAGGGAAAAACGGACTCGAGATTACTTACCAGAAAGAACCTTTTCTTTTAATTACAAGGATGCAGAAAGGATCGTGCAGCCCCACAATGATGCCATGGTAATATCTGTACTCATAAATAAATCACGAGTTAAGCGTGTGTTAATTGATCCAGGTAGCTCGGCCAACATCATCAATCGAGGTTCGTAGAGCAACTCGGTCTACAAGATCAAATTTCGCATGCAGTCCCAATTCTAAATGGATTCAAAGTGTCATGTGAAACTACTAAGGGGGAGATAACATTACCAGTGAATGTCAGCGAGACCATCTAGGAATCCATGTTTTATGTTATTGAAGGAGACATGAGGTACAACTCTCTGTTTGGGAGGCCATGGATCCATAACATGCGGGTAGTGCCTTCGACTCGGCACCAAGTGTTAAAATTCCCACCCTTGAAGGGATTAAAATAATCTACGGAGAACAGCCAGCCACGAAGGAAATATTTTCGGTTGAAGAGGCGATTCCGATATCCGAACTTGTAACGACAAAGGGGCCAAGTTCGGTCACAAAGCAGGAAGCTAAATAGCAATTACCGACACTAGACACGACCCAAACATGGAAGCAATGGACTGATGTGGGCGATGATTACGGGGTTCCCAGGTCTTTTATAGTCCCCGATGATTCCAACACCACTAAATCGACAGTCGAGGAGCTGGAATATATCATATTGATCAAGCATCTACCCGATCGGAAGGTATACCTGTGCACGGGGTTATGTCCCGAGCTTAAGAAAAAACTCATTCAATTTCTTATAGCTAACATAGATTGTTTCGCTTGGTCCCACTTTGATATGACAGGAATCTTACTAAAGATAACCACTCACAAGCTAAGCCTGGACCCAAAGTTCTACCCGGTCAAGCAGAAGAGGAGACCCTACTCCGAGGTCAAACATGCTTTCATCAAGGGCGAGATATCTAAACTCCTTAAAATAGGGTCCATTCGGGAGCTTAAATACCCGGATTGGTTAGCGAACATAGTAGTAGTCCCTAAAAAAGGAATAAATTAAGAATGTGTGTAGACTATAAGTATTTAAATAAGGCATATCCCAAGGACTCCTTCCCTTTGCCCAACATCAATTACATGATCGATGCCACAATCGACCATGAGATCCTCAATTGTCTCAACGCTTACTCTAGCTACAACCAAATACGGATGAACCCGGGTGATCGGAAAAAGCCTCCTTAATCACTAAGTACAGAAGATACTGATACAACGTGATGCCATTTGAATTAAAAAACGTTGGTGCCACTTATCAATGCCTAGTAAACTGAATATTCGAGGAACAAATAGGAAAATCAATGGAGGTTTACATTGATGATATGTTAATAAGTCCCTGCGAGCAGAGGACTATTTGAGATATTTGCAGGAAACTTTCAGCATATTGAAGAAGTAAAACATGAAGTTGAACCCGAAGAAATGTGCGTTTAGAGTCGGATCAGGTAAATTCCTCGGATTCATGGTATCCAATCGGGGAATCAATATAAATCCCGACAAGATCAAAGACATCGAAGATATCACGGTTCTGGACAACGTGAAAGTCGTGTAAATATTAGTCGGACGCATAGCCGCACTGGGGTGATTTATCTCGAGGTCCTCCGATAAGAGCCACCAATTCTTCCAACTACTGAAGAAGAAGAGTAACTTCTCATGGACTGGAGTGCCAACGGTCCTTGGAGGAACTCAAGCGATATCAATTGAGCCATCCGCTTCTTCACACGCTGAAGACAGACGAACAACTATACATTTACTTGATGGGATCGGAGATAGTGGTAAGTGGAGTCATGCTCTGGGAAGAGCAAGATATGCAATTTCCATACTCTTGGGACGATTGGCCAAATGGGTCGTGGATATCAGTGGGTACGATATTGAATATCGACCCCGGTTCGCCATTAAATCTCAAATTTTGGCATACTTCATGGCCGACTTTATGTCGTCCCTAATACCCGAGGTTGAAAGAGAGTTGTTGGTGAACTCGGGGACGTCTTCGAGGATCTGGACCCTCTTTACAGATGACGCCTCGAACACGAAAGGGTCCAGACTTGGCATTGTATTGAAGCCACGTACAGGCAATGTAGTTAGACAATCTATTAGGACTGTGA